GTAAATAATTAATCATATTGCAAAATGTTTTTTTTTTATGCAGTCAACATAAATGCAGGCTTTTTAATGGCAAATCCGTCGCCACATGTGGGAACAAGCCTCCTGTGCTTTTAAACCTGATTGGTTATAAAATTTTAATTGCGCTGAACCAAACATCTTTATCACGCCATTGTTTGTTTAGATGGGAAGCTGATTACTAGCTGAGGTCTGAGTGTTGGGAAATTAGCAGGCACTAGGGGCTCTGTGCACAGATTGCACTCCATATATTGAAGATGTGCTGCAAGCTTTCATTGCAGACAGTTCAGGCATCTCCGGCACATTTTTCATGTCATTATTTTCATACAATGGAGTGTCACTTCCTAGAGAGCAGAAGTTATTCTGTGTCATTGCATTCTCTCTACAAAACATTGGGTAAATAACACCAAACTATCACTAGAGGTAGAAAAGCAGGAGGCACTGAAGGACAGTGTGGATTGGAGGTATTTTAGTAAGCAGAGAGCAGAGCTTTTTGGAGTGAATGAATCAAAGTAGAGATGCGCTATTCATGCTTAATTATGCCATCTCTTTATTTTTATTTTTTTTGAATGCAGTAATTAAAGTCAACAAGAAATGTTTTTAGGCTATTTAAACTTTGTATCTGATGTAGTGAAACAGCATATTCGATGAGAAAAGTATATACATAAAAAATACATATACACTACTCTTTCTAAAGTTTGGATTGGTTAAATGTATTAATGACTCCCTTGTGCTCACAGCAGCATTTAGTTGATCAAAAATACAGTAGAAATATTGTAAAATATTATTACAATTTAAAATGACTCTTTTGTGTTTTAATGTTTCAAAATGTAATTTATTCCTGAGATGCAAAGCTGAATTTTCAGCATCATTACGCCAGTCTTCAGTGTCACATGATCCTTCAGAAATCATTCTAATATGCTGATTTGCTGCTCAAGAAAAAATTTTTTAATCAATGCTGAAAACAGTTGTGCTGCTTAATATTTTTGTGGAAACCATTTTGATGAATAGAGAATTTAGAAAACATTTATTTAATGCATTATTGCTGAAAAAAATTATTAATTTATATATTTAACAAAACGTATTGACCCCAAACCTTTTAACAGTAACAAGTGAAAAAAGCTTCAATCCATTCTTTTGATAATGATTAATTTAGTTTTGATAGTGAATCATTCACTCAACTGATTTGCTCAAACCCACTGATTCATTCATTCAAGAAAAAGAAAGCCTCTTACTGACCCAAACAATAGAATGGAAGTATACAGGGCTTTTAAATAATTATAAATAATTGTTACCTATGTATTATTATTATTATTATTAAGAATTATTTATAAAATAAGTATTTAGTAATTAAATTGCACTGTTTTCTGTGAATAACTTTTAAAAGGTGCATTAAGAACAAAGGAAAGTGCATTAAGAATAAAGGAATAAATAGGGGTGTTTTTCATTTCATGTTTATCATAATCCCAGCTTGCAATAATTCCAGCATGTTTGCGACTAACTGTTAAAAAACTAAAAATGTTCCCTGAGAAACTACAGTATATGGCCACCTGTCAGCCTGCCTGTAAATGACAGGTAATCAAGGCCGAGTAAGTCATTCGTATCTATCTCAGTTCCTTCTCTTCTCCTTCAGATCTAGATTATGGTGTGACTGTGTTTGACGGACACTCCCACACTCAGAAGTCTAGATGAGAACCGCAGGCGTGTGTTTTATTTCCACTGATTTGAGATATATTGCATTTCTGGAATGGATAAGGATCCTTTCTGAGTGAAAAGCCATTCGACAGGCTGACACGTGCTTGAAGCTGATCTGTTTTCTGCTCAGGACCGCTGCCAGCATCACATGAAATTCTATAAGAGACACAGAGAGAGAGAGGAATCGAGAGACAGTGATAGCAGGAGGTTGAAAGAGGACAGATTTGAATAATTTGTTGTTGTAAAAAAGATTCTAAAATTTGCTCTGAAGCGAAGGCAACGTGACATTGAATTGCAAAGCCTGCCAAAGCCCTTTCCTTGTTTTTAGAGGTAAATTTCAGCGAGCCTTGACCTGGTACAGACTTTTCAGGCTGGGACAAAAGAAAGGAGTGTATCACAGCTGAGCTTTCCAATATAAGAAATGGATATGTGCTAAAATCTCCTTGATACAGCGGCTCTCTTAAGAAGACAAATGAGAGAAGATTAATGAAATGTCGCTGCATAATGTCCTGAATTGATGCAACTAGTTGACACTAATGTCATGGTTTTATTCAGACCCTCTCCAGGCTCTTTTCAAATGGAAATGCATATGCATCTGTTCTGCCTCTTCTCCATCATCTGTAACAATAGCTGGGTCTCTGTATTAGAGCGACTAAAGGTTCCTATTTCAGCCATTAATATGACACTTTAACTAACTCAAACAAACAGACATCCCCCAGACTTCACCCGTTGTGCTCTCCAGAAGGCAGCTGCTAGCAAATGTGAGCAGAGAAAACCCAACGCCTACTAGCCTTGTGCCTCTGACAAAACGCTTTTGTTTGGACCCCAAATGAACACACCTGAGGCAGTTGCTTCAGTAATTAGATGAAGCTAGAATGATTGATTAAGGTTTGTAAGGCCAGGATCAAAATGAAAACATTTAGTCAAAGGGATGCTCTGGAAATCAGGTTGGAAAACATGAGCAGCAAAGACTGCTTTAAAAGTAGTCAGGTTGCAAGCTATCATAATTTAAAGTAGTTAAAGAGCTAGTTGTCATGTTATTCCAAAGAAATTGCTAGCAGAATTCACAATAAAATACAGAGAAACAGAAAGTAACACATTAAAGGGGTCATATGATGCGATTTCAATTTTTTCTTTCTCTTTGGAGTGTTACAAGCTCTTGGTGCATAAAGAAGATCTGTAAAGTTGCAAAGACTAAAGTCTCAAATCCAAAGAGATGTTCTTTATAAAAGTTAAGAGTCAGCCACGCCTACCTAAAACAGCTCGTTCTAACACGCCCCCACATACCTACATCACTATGTGGGAAGATTTGCATAATGCCGCCCAAATGTTCACGCAAAGAAAGAAGGCGTAACTTTTATTCTCGCTGTAGTATTGTTGTTGCTGCCGCCATGTCGTGAAGGCGCGGTGTGCTCCGTTGTGAAAGCGAAACTACTTTGTTTGGCCTTCCAAAAGGGGATGATATCTGCTTCGTCATGCCTGGAGCTGATCTATGCTCATTGCTGAGGAAATACTACAATTTTGCGCTGTGGACCGCCGGATCGGCTTTCACCGTGGACGAAGCGCAGTCCAGCCCGGGGTCGTCACATGTATTTGCTGCAAGCCCTCCGGACGCTCCTTCGTCGAATCCGCCGCCTCTGCTCACTCTAGCCCTCCGGCCATTCCTCACTTTATCCCCCGGCCTCTGCTCACTCTAGCCCTCCGGTCGTTCCTCACTTTATCCCCCGGCCTCTGCTCACTCTAGGCCGCAGTGTGTGATGTTGTGTTTCGTTGTGAAAGCGAAACTACTTTGTTTGGCCTTCCAAAAATGGACACGACTTGAAATCAATGATTAAGTTGTATTTACAACACTGTTCCAGAACACTTTAATCAAAATATTCAGATGTGTGCAGCACATTTTGTGGAGTTTTCTGATCCTGGTAGAGTAGACTACAATGCCGACTGTTCCGACTCAAAGACTGTAAGTAAATTTTTTATATTTAAAGAGTTCCCTTTCGATACTTCACTCGTACTGCGTCTTGCTGAAGACGCATATGGGAAAAAGCCTTTTTTCTCCTGAACTGAAGCCTATTTCATTCACGCAGTGAAACTGCACGGCCAATGGTTCGTGCAGGGCTTTAAAAACGAACCAATGGCGCGGCAGCGGAGCTGCACGAGCCTCTGGCGACGAAGCCCGCCAAAGCCCACCAGGATTGGCGGGGCATCTGGCTATATAAGCGCGCGCTCGCCACAGGATTCTCAAATTTTTTTCCCCTTCAGCGACGACTCTACGTCTCAAGCTGATCCGAAGCCGTTCGCCGTTGACACGCCTTCGCAGCTGGAATCGGGACCTCTCAGCTCGGCTGACCTGCTTCTCCGCTTCTTCAGCGACGCAGCAGTTCCGGTCCGGTTCCCCTGCCACCATCCGGCGACTTGCCACGCCGTCGCAGCTGGAATCGGGTCCTCTCAGCTCGGCTGACCTGCTTCTCCGCTTCTTCAGCGACGCAGCAGTTCCGGTCCGGTTCCCCTGCCACCATCCGGCGACTTCAAAGAGCTTCTAAAAGAGCAGCGGCGTTGTTGCAAATGCAGCGCCGTTATTGCAGCCCCAAGGAGTGCGTTTCCTGCTTGGGGAACCCCATGCGGAAGCTGCGCTCATGGGAGCTATTTGCTCTCATTGCGAGAGTTTTAGTCTCGCCTCTTTCCACTCACGGATCCCTCCCAGGGACCTGTGAGGAAAAAACAGTGGGGCAAAGGGGTCGAGCGATCGGCCACGAGCGAGCTCACGCCGGCCCAGATCCCGCGTGCCTCGCTCTTGCCGCAGAGAGAGTGTTCACCCGTCCTTTTCTCCCGGTCTGATCAGCGTCCCTCTGCTGATGCGAGCGACCTGATCTCATTCGGAGGAAGTGGAGATGAGCTGCTCGATGACAGCATATCACTGGCAGCATCGGATGGAGAGGAACTGTTGGGCTCGGAAAATGACCCCACCCCCTCGCCATCATCCGCGCCCAGCGCCACCAAAGATGGGACAGATACCGAGCTTCTCCGTATCCTCTCCAAGGTGGTCGAAGAGCTGGGTTTAGAGTGGTCCCCTCCAGAGGAGCCCTCTCGCAGCCGTCTGGACGAATGGTTTCTGCCGGGGCGCTGACAGGCCCCTCGTCAGCGTACCTCTCCATTCTTCCCGGAGGTCCATGACGAGCTCACCAGATCGTGGCGCACTCCATACTCCACCCGCCTCCGTACTGCCTCTTCATCCGCCCTCACCTCCATCGACGGCGCTGAAGAAAAGGAGCACGATAAGCCGACTCCCCTAGATGAGTCAGTGGCCGCGCATCTCTGCCTGCCCACGGCCATCGGCTGGAGAGCAAAGGCCGCTCACCCATCTAAGCTGTGTAGGACTACTTTAGCTCTCGCTGGACGCGCCTACACCTCAGCTGGACAGGCGGCTGCGGCGCGTAAGTCTATTGCGGTCCTTCAGGTCTTCCATGCCAAAATCCTCGCATCCGCCGAGTCTGGCCGGGACCCTGCTACCCTCAGAAATCTGAGGAGCGCGACAGACCTGGCTCTACGCGCCACCAAGACCACTGCCCAGGCGATTTGGAGATCGATGGCCAGCCTTGTGGTGCTCCAGCGCCATTTATGGTTGACGCTGATGGAGATGAAGGATAAGATCCCCTTCCTCGATGCTCCTGTCTCCCCCAAGAGCCTTTTCGGCCCAGCGGTCGAAGGGTTTGCTGAACGCTTCACAAAGGCACAGAAATCGTCCCAGGCCATTGGAGTACGGGCCCACTCGACTAGAGGCATCGCCTCGTCGTGGGCATGGTCCAGTGGTGTGTCCATTGCGGATATTTGTGAGGCGGCCGGCTGGGCCTCACCGTCCACTTTTGCGAGGTTTAATAACCTGGAAGTCCCGGCCTTACAGGCCAGGATCCTTTCCGCTTGAAATGGCACGCGCTGCGTAAACAGACATGACAGAGAGCCCTTGGCCGTGCCATGCCCAAGTTCTCTGGTATTGTTCACCTGTTAGCTCTCGACCCCTGGGTGTTGAAGTTACGGGTATACTCTGGAACGATTAACCAGGCCGGGTGTGACCTAGAAAGCTCAGCCCGCTTAACCTTGGGTTATTGTTGACTTCTCTATAAGCATTGGTTGCTTATGGAAGTTATACCTTTAGTCGTTCCACTACATTAGTACGGCGTGATTGGACTGTTCCCATATGCGTCTTAAGCAAGACGCAGGACGAGTGAAGCATCGAAAGGGAACGTACTCGGTTACTAACGTAACCTCGGTTCCTTGAGATACGGGAATGAGTACTGCGTTGCTAGCCGTGCTGTGTAGCTGCACGACTCAGTCGTCGCTTCAGTCGACGTAAACCTGAGAATCTTGTGGCGAGCGCCCGCTTATATAGCCAGATGCCCCGCCCATTCTGGCGGGCTTCGTCGCCATAGGCTCGTGCAGCTCCGCTGCCACACCATTGGTTCGTTATTAAAGCCCTGCACGAACCAATGGCTGTGCAGTTTCACTGCGTGAATGAAATAGGCTTCAGTTCAGGAGAAAAAAGGCTTTTTCCCATATGCGTCTTAAGCAAGACGCAGTACTCGTTCCCGTATCTCAGGGAACCGAGGTTACGTTAGTAACCGAGTACGTTTTTATATTTTATATATTTAAAGCAAGTTTTTTGGGCAGTGTAGAGTAAGGCTTGTTGTTTGACATTTCTCCGATCACAAATGCAGAAGTGGTTTTATGTTTACGCGGCGCGATGCAACGCAACGCGTAAAAAGACAATATAAGTCATTATAATCCATAATTATGTCCCCACTGGATGCAACAAATGCCTAATTTATAATGGGTTTTCATGTTTTTGAACGCACTGGATAGCTGGCCAATCACAGCACACCTCACTTTTCAGACCGATGAGCTTTGTAAAAATCAACGCGCTTCAGTAAGGCGGGGCACAGAGAAACAATAATGTACAGTATGTGGAAAATAATGTTTTTTTTAACCTTAAACCGCATAAACACATTTCATTACACCAAATACACAAAATAATGTTATTTTTAGCAGCATCATATGACCCCTTTAAATTAAATGGGAAATTTTGATGGAAAAAGACTGTAGTATCTTTCTTTTAAAATGTACTCTAATATTCTTTGTTATATTTACAAATAGAACTAAAAGTGAAATATTATTATGATGTAAAATTACATTTTAAAATAGTTTTATAAAAATACGTTTTCACAAAAATATGAAGCAGCACAACATTGATTATAATAAGAAATGTTTGTTGAGCAGCCAATCTGCATATTAGAATGATTTCTGAAGGATCATGTGACACTGAAGACTGGAGTAATGATGCTGAAATTTCAGCTTTATATCACATGAATAAATTACATTTTAAAATATATTAAAATAGAAAACTTAATTACAATTTAAATTGTAATAATATTTCAAAATATTTCGATTTTACTGTATTTTTTTAATCAAATAAATGCAGCCCTTTACATGAAAAAGATCTTACCATCCCCAAAAACTTTTGAACGGTAGTGTATTTTTATAAAATATAGCCATGCTTATGATGCCTTAAAATACTGTCTACGTAAGCAGCTGACTAGGTTTTGGAACAGAGCCGTTGTCTGTCTTCTCTCATCCCTTGATTCCATTGCTGCCTCTCTTAGATTCCAAAGAGACGCACAGCAGAAAGTCCCTGCTTTATTTTTAATGAATCCTGGCTCAAAGTTGCACTCCTGTACTCTCACCATGAAGTCAGTTTCCCTCGTAGCTCTTGAATACTCCCACATTTACCTCAGCGCTACACAAACTCTATCTCACTGTATCTTGACCTCTCTCTCCATCCTGACTCTTCATACATATTATTAGCCCTCATTTTCCAACAGTCTCTCTCTCTCAGTACTCTACTGTAAATTATCACACTCTCTCTTCAAGCTGCTCATCTCTCTGCTTTCCTTCACTCCGCTACTTATGTACTTCATATCAGAAGCATCTCTGGTTGAATGTGTGAAGATTATTCCAAATAGAGGGCTTCTAAAACAAAACTGCTTTTCTCTCCAGTTAATTTTACGATTTTTACCAAAAGAATAGTGATGATAATGTTTGAGCAGTGAGTTTTTGGTCTCCAATCATGTTGTTGTTGCAAAGAGTCTGTACTTTATATAGTATACATAGGATTCCATGTTTCTAGGTAAAGCATTTGGACCAACAACACAATATACAGTGGGTACGGAAAGAATTCAGACCCCCTTAAATTTTTCACTCTTTGTTATATTGCAGCCATTTGCTAAAATAATTTAAGTTAATTTTTTTCCTCATTAATGTACACACAGCACCCCATATTGACAGAAAAACACAGAATTGTTGACATTTTTGCAGATTTATTAAAAAAGAAAAACTGAAATATCACATGGTCCTAAGTATTCAGACCCTTTGCTCAGTATTTTTGTAACCTTGGCGAGATCTGTGCCTTGCCACAATTCTGTTTCTGAGCTCTTCAGGCAGTTCCTTTGACCTTATGATTCTCATTTGCTCTGACATGCACTGTGAGCGGTAATGTCTTATATAGACAGGTGTGTGGCTTTTCTAATCAAGTCCAATCAGTATAATCAAACACAGCTGGACTCGAATGAAGGTGTAGAACCATCTCAAGGATTATCAGAAGAAATGGACAGCACCTGAGTTAAATATATGAGTGTCACAGCAAAGGGTCTGAATACTTAGGACCATGTGATATTTCAGTTTTTCTTTTTTAATAAATCTGCAAAAATGTCAACAATTCTGTGTTTTTCAGACAATATGGGGTGCTGTGTATACATTAATGAGGAAAAAAAATGAACTTGAATGATTTTAGCAAATGGCTGCAATATAACAAAGAGTGAAAAATTTAAGGGGTTCTGAATACTTTCCGTACCCACTGTATACAATAATAACAAGTAAATATTGAGTATATTTTATTTCCAGTTACTTTGTGTATTTAGCTCCACCAACAGAAACATTTCAGTAAAAGCGAAATGAACCACTGTGGATCTCAGAAAAACACAGAGTAGTGACTTTCTTGAAAGAATGAATCAGTAGCTTTGAATGAATACGTTGAGTAAATGACTCAATGAATCATTTATTAAAAAAAGACCCATTTGTTTTGTTCCTAAGTGAATCATTATCAAAAGAATCAGTTCAAAAAGAGAACATTTATTTTAAATTGTAGTAATATTTCACAATATTACTCTTTCTACTGTATTTTTGATCAAATAAATGCAACTTCAGGGAGCATAAGAGGCTTCTGTATATAATGTACTGTAAAGATTTTAGAGTGTATTTTATTACAGTATTCTGTCTTTCCGGCTAAATCAAGTCAAACCTAAACATTGACTTATGAAACAGTCAGTTTTGCCACATTGAAAAGTCTGTATATAGTAAACAGAAGAGGTGGAATCACATTTTTTCACAGGCGCTGTGTATAATTGTTTCAAAGTCAGAAAGTCAAAATACACACACACTATTTGTAAGAAAATGACTATGTGTACAATGTGCTTGACATTTATGGAAAATATTCTATATCATAGCCAGTGTCTAAATAGCACCTGTCACCGCAAACATCACATGCCCACATAAAGTTGTTTTATGTGCATTAGAGGCTGTAATTATAGGCTTCCTAGATCCTGACTTGCACTGAACGCATCTTATTCCGGCCAAGAAACACCCACAAGAAGAGGCCGTCCGTTGACACATAAAGTGACCAAGCACTATTCATTTTCATTTGTTATTTAGGGACGGCTCTTTTTTCTGTGTTGTAGTTGCTGTAAACTTAAAAATAAAGGTTCTTTATTGACATCTATGTTTCAATGAAGAACCTTTAACATCCATAGAATCTTTTCATTGTACAAAAGTTTCTTAATAGTGGGAAAATGTTCTTTAGATTCTTTAAATGTTCTTCACACTAAGAAACATTTAAATTTTTAAGAACTGTTCACTGAAAGATTCTTCAGGAACCAAAAATGGTTCTTATGGATCACAGTGGATAAAATATATGCATATGGATAAAGTGTTTTTCTGTCTGTTCTGCATTTAAACACTTTCTGAAACACGTACATACACTTCCTTGTTCTTTCTTAATGTGTGTGAGTTCATGGGTTTGTGTCAAGCATGTTAATGTAAGGCTCAAGGCAGGTTGAACGGTGAGGCTGATGTAAAGTAATTAGGCCTTCAGAGATGTCAATTAGGCCTTTAGAGAAATCAAGACTTCAGTCTGAGGCTTCACCTGGTCACTGTTTGAAAGAGACTGGGTGTAAATCAGCTCAAGAAACCTTTTTCAGCATGTGTGTCAGGTAGACTCAGAGAGGCATTAATGTGTCAAGCTAAATCTGTTTGCTAATGGATGGTCATACACATCACAAAGGCTTTATTTCATAACCAAATGTGACATGCATGTATAGAATGAGAGCAGAAACAGAGCTGTGGGGAGATTTTCAGTGAATAACCTACATACAATTACGACATTTTCCTCACACAAATCTATTATATGATTTCATAAGACTTGGAATATAGTGCATGCATCATATGGACTGCTTTTATGTTGTCTTCTGGCTGTTTTCGGTCATTACAAACTGCCATGTGGAATAAAGCTCTATGAAGTTTCTCCTAAAGTTTTTGGAGTTATATGTAGCCTGATTTCACCAAGAAAGAAAGAAACAATGAAGAAAGAAAGAAAGAAAGAAAGAAAGAAAGAAGAAAAAAGAAGGA